ATAAAGTGACTGTGATTCATCACTAAGATGGCATTTGCCAGTTCTCTTCCATGTTTGTCTAGTCATTGTTTTTTTTTTTCCCTACCAATAAGGTTGGCTCCATGATTGCTCTATCATGATGTTCAATCGTTTGGGGTTTAGCCCACTTCAGGGAAGAGATTATTACCCTTTTATGAGCTGATTCGATCTGTCCTAATAAAATTCAATTTCTTGTTAAAAAGAAACAAAGGTTATCCATAAAATCAATTCTCTCCTTCAAACGTCCGTTCAGATCTCTTAACATGAATAAAAATTACCAACGCTTTCACATCAATTTCTTCTCTGTTATGTACCCAAAAACAGTTCCTTTGTTGTTTGTGGTTAGCAAATGCGCAAGGGACAAACTTTGGGTTATGATGTAGCAATTTCTATATATTTTCGCTTCGTGAATTTTACACGTAACGAGGCTATTGTTTTCAATTATTTTCCTTTGTAATGTTCTTTTCTTTATAGGTCCTATTTATTGTTGTCATTATTTACAAATAATTCATCAGTTCGGTCAAATGTTTTTGATCCGTCATTATTTATAAATAAATGTTAAGTACAACTTGAACCTTAAAGTCGTGTTGATTCATTTATTTTATAACATGAATTTATTTTAAAAATAAGAGAAATTAAGAAAATATAATCTATCTTTTTAAACCTTTTCTTCTTTTTTATTTTTTAAGTTTAGCCAAGCTTATCATTGAAATAGAATAAAAGCGGTTTGTCAGGATGCAACATATACAGTCAATTTATGCCAATTCAGCTCATACACCCAATTAAACCCAATACAAGTTTCAATACTGTTTGTTCAACCAACATATTACATATCATCATAAAGCCATCTGGGTCCAGATTACAAGACATGGCTCTTGCATCTCAGTTTCATATTTTGCAATCTCCCCTGCACACATTCAGCTATAGGTTGTATCTGCATAACGTCCTCAATATTTCATTCAAATCAAAGCCATGCAACAAATAAGTTTTCTCCGTTTTGCTAGAGTATCTGCATATGAATTGAACTCTCGGTATGCATTACAGAAAAACACAGAACCAATGGCTTCCCGGTGAAGATATACTTGCTGGAGAATTTTCCAGTACTGCCATGGTCTTTTGGAGGAATTAAGAATCCAGGTTACCACCAATTTTGAGTCTGCTTCAATTATCAATTGTTTAAGCCTGCAAAAGGAGAGTTTGTAAATAATTCCAAAGCCACCTTGATCATACATGGCTCTCTATAATTGGGCTCTGCAGTGCCATTTGGTCCTGAGAAAATTCCTAGAATATTTCCAGAGGTATCAAGGAGATTAAATTATTCCATAGGCCATAGCCCAAATTCATTTAACATAGACGTTCTGATCAATCACAATTTCCTTTTTAACAAATGCAGCATTATTCCACACTATTAACAGACCACCGGATTGTCCATTTGATGGCACTATAGTCCATTTAATATCATCTGTGAACCCCAAGCCTCTGATTCTGAAGTCTCCAATTTGCTTCATTTTTGTTTCTTGTACCAAAAGGATGTTCAGATTGTTGTTGATGATGAACTTCCTAAGTTCTCTGCATTTCACCCCATTGTTGATGCCCCTTGCATTATCACCATAACTCCTTACTCTCAGGATTTTCTATCGCCTTCCATTCCTCTAGAAACATGTCTTTTTACCTCTAACCAGACAGTATGGGATTGTGATCCGATAAAGAAGAGGGGAGACACTTTTGAATTAAATTTGGATTGCAATCCAATATATCCAGTTCCTCAAGAAATCTGTCGACCTTGCTAAAGGAAGGGTCAACTCTGTTATTACACTATGAGAATTACCACCAACCATTGATAAATCAACCAATTCAACAGTGTTGATAAACTCGTTGAATAGTTCCATAGCTCTACCATTATTATGGTTCCCCAGACTCTCATCCAGATCTCTCACAACATTAAAGTCCCCACTAAGGCACCATCGTATTGGATTATGGGATATGATCCTGCAGAGTTATCCCAAAGAAACTGCCTATTTCTATCAACATTTCGAGCATCAATGTTTCCCACACCGCATCGAAAATTCTATTCTTCGACCTATCCAAAATAAGCTGGATGAAGGCATGAAGCAATGAGACTGCAAGCATGATTCAATTCTAAAAACAAAAAGTCATTCCACATGGTAATTAGCCCCTCGGATGCGCTATTAAACCCTGCAAAACAGACCTTCATGGCTTCATCTCAGTATTCCGCCATAGTTTAGAATTAAAATTTTCCTCAGCCAATTGTTTTTTAGTTTCTTGCAGTAAAACAAAGTCAGGCTTAACCCTGTTAATAAGTTTTTTCATACCTCTCACCTTTCTCCCAATGCCTCTCACGTTTCATGTTAAGAATTTCATAAGTAGAGGTAAAAACATACCCCATAAACGGAATGCAGTGACGTTTTACTGCGTGTTTAGCTCCTGGTCCGTTTCTTCCATCAGCTTAAGAGTATCTACAAAAGACTACCTGCTGCCTTCGTAAACCAACCCCACACGCTGCCCAAGTAGCTTCAGCTTCTCTAAAAATTCTGGCATTTCTCCTCTGGATATCCCCACCCGATTCGACCTCTGTTACAGGGCTGTGTTGCTCAGCTGGCTTACATTAATCGCCTAAAATATTTCTTTTCTCAGGTTTCTTCTTCTTCTAACCAGAGAGGGTGTCCTTTTAAAAAGTGACTTTGTTTTTTTGGCCTTCGAGCTAAATCTATCATTTCTATTTTTGCAAACAATCCAATATCCACAAGCGAAAGGTGTTGAAGTAAGGCTTGCTGTGAAGATCGAAGCAAGTCAATGGCAACATGGAGAATCATACCTTGGGTTGCTGGCAGGTCAATAACCTAGAAGGCTTAAAGTTAAATATTCAAATGAGAACTTTTTTATTGAAATTGAAAAAAAAAAATTATTAAAATTTTTAATTAAATTTATAATTCAATAAATCAACTATCACATAAAATAGAGACAACAAAATAATATAATACAAACTCTAAACTAAAGTAAAAAAGTTTGCAAAGATTAAAACAATAATATTTAATTATTGAATGTTTATTGCAAACAACAAATAAGGCATACGATTTTATTAAGATAATAACATAACAAACTTTTTGCATATTCTTTAGAGGAAAATTAAAAATAATAGAAGATTGAGAAAATGAGAAAAAAAAGAATTCAAAAGTAGATATTATAAATTGAATAAAACAAGATAATTGGTTTTATACATATGAAAAAAAATTATTAGAGATCATTAAATGCATATTACCATTAATTGATTGCAAACAGAGAAAATAGTTGAGAAAAAAAAAGGTATTAAAGATCATTAAATATATATTATCATTACTTAATTGAAAATAGGATAAATAGTTGAGAATTAATAATATTGTAAGAATTAAGAAGTGATAAAAAAAAATTTAAATTTATTAAGCACAAAATTAAAAATGTGAGAAAATATATTATTTTATTAAATTAGTTAAGTCCTTTATGTATTGAAGAATACGAGGTTGACTTTGTAAATCTTGTACTTCATATATATATGAGAAGTAAATGAAAGAAGGCAAGCTAGCCTTATTTTACAGCATCTCTCTGTCTTACACTGCCAGCTTCATGTTTCTGTTTTCTGGTTTTTCATTAATGCTTTAGTATTGATATTCAATGCTGATTTACCAAGCCTTATGTGTTTTAATGCTATAAAACAACAAAAGGAATGTCCAAGGAAAGTTGTTGTGATAGGAACTCTTGGAGGATAGATATAGATAAATGATAAACCAATCGGAGACAAAGAATCAAAACTAAAAGAAGAATCACCCAAAGAAGGTCCACTTTTCCCTGCTATTTTTCATTTCCAAAACAATTGACGATTGGGAATTTGGAATGCTTCTCTGTACGTCCTGCGCAAGTCTGTCTCATTTAGTAAGAAGCCCGATTCAGTTACCAACCTTATCATTGCTTAACATCAAGCACGAGCTGCTTTCAATATCACATAGTTGACTTTTTTTTAGTTTAAGTTCGACAGACCATAAAAGGTTTTATATTTGACCGAAGGGGGTAATACTATAATGCTCTATATAAACCAGGGAACCTGGGGGGGTTCATTTAGCCGTAGATTATTCAGAGTAGAGCAATCCCGTTATTCCTAAGGAAATCACCAATGGACAGAAGTTTGATATTGGCCTGGATTTTGGTCCTCTGCACGGCAACGTCTCCATTGTGTTGCAAAG